AAATCCCAATTAATTTTTGCTAATATTTTTATATATAAATTTCGTTTGAATTATGATGGGATTAATATCTCCTTACATATATATATATTATTTGCTAAGTGTAATGCAGTACATCGTGCTATATGCGATCTTGAATGGTATAAATTGGAATCAAGAGAGGCAAGAAACCTTATTATATTAATGGTACGAGCTCATCAACCTTTGCGCATCACTGCAGGAAAAATTATTCCATTAACTATGGGTACTTTTTGCAGCGTAAGATTATTTAATATCTTTATATTTAATCTTTTTACAAATAATGTCAAATTTATTATATTTCTATATATGAGCTACTGTGTTTTTGTGTATGTATAGGTAGTGTATGTGTCTATATATATATTTTTTTAAAGAAAGTATTATTCATTAATTGGATCGCCAATATAAATGGATAGCGTTTAGAATGATCTTATATGTATATATGTTGTACAGTTCGGATATTGACTGATGTTGTTCTTGCTTTAAATCACGATGAGATAATTATAATTTTAAGTAAAATATAATAATTTTATAAAAATGAGATAAATTATTATCCATTGGCATACAAAATTCTTTTTACATAAATCGAAAAATAAACTCTTTTTCACCTGAATCGATCGATTGAAACTAAACCGATCCTACTTTATCTTATCTCCATAGAAATTAATTTGAAGCGAAAAATACAATATGAATTACTATTTACTATCCCGCATTTCATGTCCAAAATATAATATCAATGTATTTCCTTTTCATGCGAAATAAGATTTGTAATTTAGAAATTTGTACATTTATCGCAGTCAACAGTTATTAAGAACCAATATCAATCAGTATTTTCTCTCAGACCAAAAGTCACTGTACTTTATACTTTCAGATTGTATAAAAAACTATGCCCATTGCAGTTTCTTATGAATTAAAATTGGGCCCCGAGTGAACAGTATTGAGACAGTATTGACTAGGATTGTAAAATGACTCCTCTAAGGGCTAGAATTATCCAAAGTTTGCTGTTATAAGTATGATATATTAAAATATATGTACCATATATCAATGGTCTTATCTATATTTAGGGTGACGACAGCGGAATCATGGTGAAAGTCTATTAAGATCAAATCTGTCGTCAAAATTATCAATGGACATTTTAAAACTTGTATCAGTATTTTAATCGTGTATCCAATCAATTCCCTATGACTCATTTTCGAAATGCCTCTTCACAACATATTGTGCCATCATGTAAAACGCTGAGCATTCAGAGGAAATCGCACAACTTATGTTAAATCGTTTGCATAAATCAAATGTGTTATTTCGGTTAGTCCAAGAATAAAACTTGAATTGCAAAACTAACGCATATATCTTATCGAATGCACATGAATTAAAAGAGTATCTAGTGACTGACAAAGGATGACCTATACAGAGTTGGCATGCGATCAAATTAAACTAGAACTATGGAGAGCATTATGGAAAGATTTCTATCAAGCATACCCAACAAATTTTATACAAATGTGTCGTGATGGACGTGATGTGTTCAGGCGATAAATTTCCGATAACCAAACGTTAATACATGCTATGCTCAACACACTATGCAAGCACTATTCTATGACATTTCAGGCTGCAGATGATGTTTGCATGGTGCTGTCATGACTAAAATCTCGACGTGCAATTGAAATTTTCATATGTTATTAACGGAAGTTTATGATATATGATTTAACTCATTTAATGATATATTGATTTTGTATTTCTCGTGATAATTGTTTTGTATATGATAATAGTTTTGCTATCACGCACCATGCACAAACATAGTGCGCGCTTACGCAGCGTGTGCAGACACGACGCGCGCCTGCCTAACGCGCGCCGGCCAGACACGACTCTAGTACGCGTTGCCGCCACTAGATGATTACTCAACTCGTAAGAAGAAAATGATCAGAGGAGATAAATATATATATATACATTCAGGGTTAGCAAACGTTACTTTTCAGTTATATTGTCGTTAATTCTTATAGTAAACAATTTGATGACGATGTTGCAATTTTTTATGACGCTAACTAACTAAACGCTAAAGTTGTACTAAGGTTAGAAAAGTCACTTTGAAAAATAACTTGTCACTATTACGCGTTACACTGAAAAAGTTATAAGTATAACGTTTACGCGTTTTTTACGCGTAACGTTACTCGTTATTAAAAAATAAGGCGTTACAAATTAGGAATTATTTTTTTCAGTAACGAATGACTTTTTCAATCCAATACAAGTAACGATTGACTTTTCTATAAACTCTGATGTTAGCATTATCATCATAAAAAATTCACAATGTCATTACCAAATCGTTATTATAACAAAGTAACGATCAACAAAGTAACGGCGTTACAAGTTACGCGTTACTTCCCAATCCTGTATATATTATATATAAAAAAAAATAGGATCCTGTTTGTCAACACGTCCTCGTTGTAATTCCGTATAGTAATAGTGCAGGGAGCAAATGCGAAAAAGCCAGAATGGCGGGAGAGGGGAGCGCCAGAGGTGAGCGCTTTTTTGATCCCTTGGACGTCATAATTTGCATATATTTCGATTTGTTCATCAACGTTATGATGCTTCCCAGACTAAAAGACAACGCTGAGTCCTGGACAACCGCCCCGCTTGCCCCATCCTTGCGCCGACCCTATATCTCAATATGTGTCGCATTTTGACAGTACGTGACGATGAATAAGCTCAAGCTTTACAAAATATTACTGTAGCTCTTGCAAAAATGAATGCCATATGGTTGTGCGCATGTGATAACAATTGTATAGTATCTCAAAATACGTCCAAACTTTTACGAAGATATCTAAGTGCCAGTAAAAGCATTCATTCTTTTTCTAATTTTAGAGAGCTCCGATAAGAAATAAAAAACTAAAGAAAGGTAAGGTCCGTATATTTGCAAAAGTTTAATTTGACAATTAAGACAATAAGATAAATTTGTTTTATACTGTGTGTGAGTGCCCCCTATCGATTAATATCTGGAGACACAGTAGTGTCTCGACGCTAAGCATGGTCTTATATGACTCAAGCCTATTCACTCGGGGTTCGAATCGGGCATATAGTTCTTAAAGTTTCCATTTATGTTTTTGTATTTCCTGTATTTAAATTAAAATTTTAATAAAGGAAGAATGTGGTCTAATTAATATTCACAGTAATTCTAAATTATGATATTGTAAACCCATTGTTAAAACAGGTTAGATTTTATTATCACAATTTAAATTAAATACGATGAACATCATAACAATGTGATACAGTAATTAAACGTCAAAAAGTATTTATAAATGCAAATTAAAGTAATCGTGATCAGTCAGTATTCTGACAGATAAATAAAAATACAGCATAAATTGGCAACATAATCTTTGGATCACTTTAGCCAATATTACTCTAAAATATTTTTTATTTTCTTCTCAACGCTTCTAAAATTTAAAATAAAAATATAATTACAGGTATTAATTTTAGGTATTAAAAACATCGTCTGGCTACATATCATTTTTAGTGACAAAACATGGTTGAAGATCACGATAGCTTTTACGTACGTATATGTGTATGTGAGTGTAATCCCTATCCATACACACACACGCGCGCGCGTGAAAATCCCTATTTTTTCGTGAATTATATACGCGCACGCACACACACACACGCACACACACACACACACACGCGCGCGCGCGCGCGCGGAGAGAATTTTGTTTTAGAATTTACTCTGAAAATATGGTAGTCTTGGGACAACATTATATTTCGAAGAATTTTATGTAAATTTCTCTCATTCATTAATAAAATTATTATAAAATATAAAATAAGTTTGATTAATTTTATTGAAGTGTATGGTAAAAATCTTTAAAATATTGTATTGTATCACAACTTCTCTACCATATTTTCAGGATAAATTAAAAAAAAATTCTCTCCGTGTATAAATTATATATATATATATATATTTATATGTGTATGTATATAATATGTGTAATATTCACGAAAAATAGAGATTAAGATTAAATAAAGAAATACGAGTAAATACTGTTGTATTAAATAATTGTTATAATGTAAAAATAAAACTTTGTTTTGCCCATTAATGTTTGTTATTTGCTGTAAGATACGATCTAGACTCTGGACTATTTTCTAAATGACGATATTCTCATTGTCAGCAACAAAAACAGATCGATAGAGATTAGGACTATGTGTATTTTGTTTAAGAGAAAGCGAAAAACTTGCATTACAAAATTATAATACAAAATTTTCTTTTAATTTTTACTTTTAAATAACATTTGTAGGCTGCTGTCTTCGATGAACAAAAATATGCTAAAACAAATTGATTACCTTTTTACAAGATCCTGTTATCAGATCTTTGATAGTTACGATTTATTATAAAATTGGGGTTTTAAGATGCCGAAATATTAGTTATTACCACTATAAATGCGTGGACAATTGTGAAGTACGAACTGTAATATATTTGTATAGTATAGAGATAATTCATTCACATACGTATACTGTAACGATTGATATATCTTTGAAAAAGACATTTAAATGATAAGTTTGCATTTTCATATTATCTCATTTTCTTTATATTTTTTCGTGGCTGGCATAGTAAGTCGCATTAAAAATGCAATAGTGTTACTTCTTGTTTCGCAATATAACGAAGCAACATGAAAAGCATATTTAATGAAGCAATATAAAACATGGGAAAAACTTTTTAAGCGACTTCGGCAAGCTTATGACACGATACAGTATTTTTATCTCTTATTTTATTACACCAGACATTAACAATTTTCATAACGTAAACGTTTATAAAATTTTTTCTTATGATACCAATAGCTGTAATTGAGGATAGCATTTTTAATATTTAATGCTACATCAGCCGCGTTTGACAAGATTGTCGAGTTTTTGCATTGCAGTGTGATGGAGAGCATGCGTACATGCGAGCATTTTACATCATACAGTGGAAGCGGATAGAACGAGATCTTTTTCACGTTCAAGCTTTCGATATGGATATTAAAAAATTTTCAGGATGCAAAGGTACCAATTTAATGTAATAATTTAATGTATATAAATCCTGCTTATTATCTGTGTTTAATGTATATATAAATATAGTAAATAAATTGTATAATTTTGCATTCTTGAGGTATTGCACACATTATTGTCAACTTCTAAATCATTTAATAATTTGAACATTAATTTAGGTTGCTATTATTTTATTGAAATCGCTTATATTGTACATTTTATTAGATTACATGTGGGCAGTTAATCTACATCGTATAGGTTTGGAAATGGTGGGCTTGTGGCCTAATCCCAACAAATGTACTAAAAAAAATTTATGGCCAGGAATTTGGGTTAACATCGTTTTCAATTTACTGATATTTGTTTCTAATATTCCGATGATATGTGGGATTATACAAGTTTGGGGTAATATGGTATTCGTCATAAACAATTTAAGGTCAACGTTACCCCTGCTAACAGTAACAGTGAAATACGTTATTATACGATGGAAACGAACAGGTATGTCCAGAATTATATAAAATAAAATGTTTACCATTATACTCCGTTGGTTTGTTAAATCATTTTATGACAAATAATTATAATTATAAATATATTTTGGACTATAATAAAAAACCAAAAAGTGTATATACGATTTATACCTATGTAGCAACATTAGCAATGTACAGGGTGCTTCCGATACATACACATTAGTAAGTTGGGTTGCCTTTCGGTAGGGGCATGCTCATCCGCAGGGATCTGCTTAACGGCATGGTATAATGCAGAATAAGATTAGATCGCAAAAGACAAGATAAATTGAATTTTACATTCTGATGTACAATAATGTAAAATTCAATAATATAATATAAAGTATGTATTTAATAATACAAATAATATCTGACTTAAGAAGATTGTAAGGGCATAAAACACATATATCAATATTTATACTTTATACAAACTATATGCATATGAAAGTTGTGTTTATAATATTCTGTTTTTATTGAGCAACACATTTTTATAGATTATTTATTGTATTTGTTATTATTTTTATTATTGTTCAGCAAAAATTTTAAAAATGATAACAAAAATCTAAATTTTTTTGTATAAGTACTTTAAGTATTAAAAATAATTTATGCAAAGTTTCATTGAGATTCCAATTAGTTTATAACAAATAAATATTTTGTTTATTTACTGAACAATTAATATCTGTATTTCACAATGTAACTTTAGTTAAATAATCTTGAACTCATAAAGTACTTATATAAAAAAATTGAAACTTTTATCATAATGACAACTATTATAAAAGGTATATATAGCAATCAATGAACGCATAGCGTCACTTTCGTATGGTAGTTACATGCTAAACATTTATTATATAAGCATTTCAAGACAAAAATATTTTTTGTTCAAATATGTTTATTAAATTTTAGGTTAGATTAGGTCAGGTATTATTATTTAATTAGTAAATATATATTATATTTTATATCATATTATGGAATTTTACACTATATCAGAATATAAAATTCAATTTCTCTTGTCTTTTGCGATCTAATCTTATTCTGCATTACCATACCGATAAGATCCCTGCGGATGAGCATGCCTCTGCCGAAAGGCAACCCAACTTACTGATGTGTATGAATCGGAAGCACCCTGTACATGGAAATAATTAAATTAAAAAATGTATATGTTTCTCTTTTTAGTACAGTAGTTTACATTAACGTATGTCTTAACAAATGATTTAATATTCTAGTGCCTTTAACAATGCTTACATTTTATCTATAGTTATTTATATTTTTAAGTTCTCCTGTTAAATGTAAATATGATGGAAGAAGATTGGATGGCATTCAAGCTGGATGGAGAAAGAGATGTGATGATAAAACGAGCACACACAGCGCGATTAATTATGACGATTGGATATGTTTTAGTGATAATATCGTTTTTTACAATAATTATTCTTGCTTATTTTGGCTTTCCCGTAATGTATGTAACGAATTCCACAGATCGGCACAAATCGTTGCCATTGAAGACGTATCACTTCTACGATATAGATAGAAGTCCACAATTTGAGTTGATATTTTTCATTCATACCATAACGATCTTGTTATTTGCTATCATTTACATGTCTGTAGATATTTTTCTAGTAGTAATGATTCTTCACATTTGTGGCCAGTTAGAAAATTTTCGATGTCGATTAATTAATTTAATTTCATGCAAAAATTTTAATAAAGTTTTAAACAACATTGTAGCGACCCATCTACGTCTTATCAGGTATGAATTTTTAACAATCGAACTTTTAACAGAATTGCTTCAGAAATTTTATTAAAAACAATTTTTTCAAACACTGTAAACTTTAAATGTTAAAATTTATTATTTACAATTATTTTATTGTAATATATTAATCTTTAATGCATATGAAATTGAACGTAACATATATTTTTTGTTTACTTCTCAACTTAATAAATTATCTAAAAACAATTATTGGTTTATTGGAATGTTTATAATAATAGAAATTGTTAATTTACCATCACGTTTTGTGAAAGATCGTCATTATATTACAGTAATTTTAAATTAATTAATAGACTAATTATTTCTGTGACAAAGCACGGATATAATATATAATTTCTTTCAATAATTTATTTATAAAAATTAAGTTAAAGCTTATTTAATTATTTTTTTTGTATTATGGAATATTTATTTTTATTGATATTGAGGTTATTAAAGTAACTTCAGTTTTCCATGAAGCTTATATTTTTCGAGATCCCGGTATTTTTTCCTTACTCTGTGAGTTTTACTGATTTAACATTATAACAATTTTAAATACTGTTATTCTTATAGATTTGCCAACAATATCGAAAATACGTATTCTTTACTGATGTTAGTATTAGTACTTCATTTTGGTATCGTATTTTGCCTAAGCGGATTTTTATTTACTATTGTAAGATTCAGTAAAACAAATGTGAGAAAATATTTTAATGTACACATAAGTTTCTTTATATTCTTATAATGTATATATTTCAGACAATTGCTGATAGAAAAATAGATAAAGCTATTATTGCACAAGAATGTTTCTCGATTTTAAGTATTACTGTCTTATTGATGAATACTTTGCTGTATTGTGGAGCGGGAGAGCTTGTAGTGAATCAAGTAAGTTATACTTACAATGCTTACATAAGTAAGATATATTTATAATATATACAAATATTTTATTGTGGTATATTTTATATCTTGGAATAAACAATTTTATGTTCAATAATAAATTTTTTTTGATATTTAGAATAACCGAGCGTCGTTGACCTTGACTTTAACATATTGCATATATTGTCATGACCTTGAGTGACCTTCGAAAGGTTTCAACTCCCGCTCGTTATTCGTTCAAAAGTTATTAACAATCAAAATTAATTATTGTCCCTGATATTTTGAACTGTAATACAGCATTTTATACAACAATTTTCGATTCTATCTTTTTACGCGGATAGGGATAGATGATACGCGTATCAAAATATGATAAAAATCGTTAAAAAAATTGTCCTCTTATAGGTATAAAAGAAAGGATTTTTTATTACAAAAAGATTGATTTGAAATAGTGTTAAGATGATTTTTAAAATATTGATTTGAAGTTGTAAAATATTGATTAGAAATCATCTTTGAAACTATTTTTTTTCGTTCCGATTTTTTTAATAAAAAAGTCATTTCTCTTTTACTTAAAAAACAATTTTCAATCGATTTTTCATGTATCGATACGCGTATCACCCATCCTTACTTACGGTACTTATGAAGCGTAACAACCTTCCACATAAACATTCTCTGCTTTAATTAAATAAAAATGTAAATTTTTTATATAATTTAAATTATAGCAGAAAATATGTGAGTCGAAATTTACACTTACATATTCTCTGTTCTAATTTATTAAACACCTGAATTTTTTAATAATTTGACGTATTAATATTTTGTTATTAAACACAGTAGACTTTTTTAACGTGAATGTGCAGGGGAAAAATGTGGGATGGGGACTTCACTTTGCAAGTGTTATGCTTCATTCAAGCAATTGAAGATACTGAGTTATTTCAGTTATTTGTGATAGTTGAAATTTTAGTTATATAATTAAATATATATTTACATTGTCAACTTTATTTGTTAGTAACTTTTGAATAATGAGCGAAAGCTAAAACTTTCCGAAGGTCATGAATAGAGAAGGACCTTGACAACATATTAAGGTGAAAGACCTGGGTCCGTTATTGTATACATGCACCATTTATTTCGTATATATTTATGCATGTTAAATGAACATCTCTGAATGAAAAATAACGATGATATAAAGTTTTTGAGTAAAAAAATATATTCTTGTTTATAATTTTTTTTATAAAAAATAAAAAGTTATTTATCCCAATAAACTGTTACTAGTATATCTGGAAATAATTCTCATTGAGGTAGCACGGATATTAAAATGTTTTCCTGGATATTTTCATTAAGTGCAATGCAGTATATCGTGCAATGTGCGACCTTGAATGGTACAAATTAGAATCAAGAAAGGCGAGAAGTCTTATCTTGTTAATGATGCAAGCCAAACGTCCTTTTTGTATTACTGGTGGAAAAATTTTTCCATTAACAATGGCTACTTTTTGCAGTGTAAGATTACTTAATCTCTCGAAATATCTCTCGTTTTAATTTTGATTCCTTGCTATTTAATGGAATCTGTATTGTACTTTCATATATAACCTCACTCTTTCTTTCTTTCTTTCTTTCTCTTCCTATCTACACACACACATACACGCGCGAGTACGCGTGCGTATGCATAAATATACTGCGTTAAGTTGAAAAATGTTTCAGACAAAAGTTTTTTGACTTTGAAGAGGACATAAGATGGTACTCAAGAAGACTAGAACTAAGGAAGATCAACTCGTGCCAATAGCGGTAGTGGGGGTGAGGCAAAAAGTGGCGTCGTATAACTTCCCCCACTCTTGCGCTTCATTAGTCCTCTGTGTCGCTCTATATAGTCGTCGCTCTGTCGTTCTATAATCGTCACTTTGTCGCTCTTACATCGAACTTTCACACAATGCGCAGTGCCGCTGCACATCGTGTGAATAGCCGCGGACGTTTTTTGACTCACCCCCACTACGCGAGTTGATCCTCCTTAGTTCTAGTCTTCTTGATGGTACTATTGGTATGACCTTGGGTGGCGTTGTCGAGATCAAGGCAAGGTCACTTTGAATTTGTTTAGCGGGACTATTTCTCATTAAACATTCTCGTAGTTTACCTTCAGAGCTTTTCAGAACACTGTATTAAACTATTTCATTAAATACTTTTTGAGTTACAAAGCTGGAAATTTGCAGTACCGTCAGTATTAGCATTATTCAAGATGTCCGACCGACGATTGATCTATTAAATTAAATGTTGTTCAGGATCATGACCTGAATAGCATCAAGATCAAGGCCATTGAAAATTGTATCCCTTATTTTCATTTTTTGACGGAGAATTTTTTGACGCAGAATTCATTTTTACATAAAAATTGAAAATAAGGGGTACAATTTCCAATGACCTTGATCTTGATGCTATTCAGGTCATGATCCTGAACAACATTTAACTTAATAGATTTCAGTCGTCGGTCGGACACCTTGAATAATACTAATGCCGACGGTATTTTCAAACCTTATAACTCGAGAAGCACTTAATGAAAAAATAGTTTATTATAGTGTTTTCTATAAAGTTCTCGAAGTAAGCAACAATAATATGTATTAAAAAATAAAGGGTTCCATTCAAAAAATCTAAAGTGATCCCTAACCTCGACAATGCTACTCATGGTCGAATCAATGATACCATCTTATGTCTCCCTCAAAGTCAAAAAACTATTGTCTGAAACATTTTTCGTTTTAACGCAGTGTTTCTGAGATATTTTAGTGGATC